ACCTGGAATATGTTAAATACAACAAATATCTACTTAAAGTCTGATCTATTTCATAACATTTGTCACCTTTATTGTTTAATTACACATTAAATGTTTAAAGATGGGCTCTTTCATCTGGTTTGTGTCATGATGTGGCGGTGGACGTACTTTATGAAGATGTTATTTTAATGAACAAAATAAACGAACTAAATCCAAAATCCAGGGAAAACAAGGAAATCCAAAACACAATGAAACAGGAGACACGAGGGAAAACAACGGTAACAACTGGCAACGTGGTGAGCAGGATAACAAGTTGGACTGGTGGACAATGGCCTAAATGAGAAGAGCGATAGCAGGTGTGAGTAATTTGGCACAGCAGCTGGCTGAGGGCTGGGAGGAGGTGGCACAGGGAAACTAAGGAGATCTGCTGGGAAGACAAACGGGAGGAAACAGGGAACTGAAAAATACTTCTAATACAAAAGACACTAAGAGTAAAGAAAACCTGATGAACTAGGAGAGAAAGATATGAGGGAAACCGAACCTAAATAGAAACAAGGCTGATCTAACAATAAGAACTAAGGAACACAGAGCAAGAGAAACTAGAAGATCTAAAAGAAATAACCCAACTAGAATTACTAAAGAAAGATACAGACTCAGACATGGAAGAATAACTGAACCTACGGTGATCAAATTAAGAAATAAACATTACTAGAAACCCTGCAGGGAGGCTGAAATAAGAACTAGAAAGATAAAATAGAATTAAACTATAGTCATTAAAGACTGTAGTCTTAAATGACTATAGTCTTTAATATAGACTATATTAAAGTCTATATTTAGACTATAAACCGACGTGTGAAACCGATTTCACACGTCGGTTTGCCTTTAAGAGGACATATCAGAACACTCATCAGTATTAATGCTGTTTCCTTGTTTGCTTTTCAGACAAACAAGGAAAAGCAGTAATATAATTCTAACTACACTAAATACCTCTAATAATGTCAAAAGGACCATGACGGGCTAAACTAAAGTGAATTAAAACATGAAGCTAAATAAAATGAAAAGCAAAACAAACCCAAAAATCCAGTGTCCTGACAGATGTCTGATTATATAATTGTTTTCTTTAATCACATAAAATGTTTATTTAAAAATATAATCTTTCATTACGTGTATGTTTATTACCTGAAATATTTTAAATATCAAATTTTTACTTAAAATGTGATTCATTTCTTCACCTGTTTACATGCAACTTGAAGTGCTTGAATCAAACGATTCATGAATGTTTACCACATGAAATTATTGAATGAGAGAAAACAGGAACCATTTGTGAACAGGAGCACAAATGGTTCCTGTTCCTCTTCAGAGTCTGCAGCCTTGTTGAGCTCTCTCAGCCTCTCCAACTTGCTCCTCATCTACAGCCTCTGGAACTCTGTTTTCATTATTTACCTCTTCTGGGGTAAATAATGAAAACAGTCTCAGTAACTTGTTGATGGTTTTGCTGTATCGCCTCTTTAATTGACGCGCCTGTCGGTCCGACGTTGTGTCGTTTACCTCAGTGACCCATATTCAGCGCTGGACCCCAGTCAGGATTGAGCTCATCCATTTCACACGTCGGTTTGCCTTTAAGAGGACATATCAGAACACACATCAGTATTAATACTGTAAATCTGATAACACAAAAAAACTTAGTTTACTTCACAGTAATGTAATAACCTCGATGTCCACTGACAAAACTCGGACTTTGCTACATAAACAATATAAGCCCGACCTAAACTTAAATGAACTCAACAGAAACTGAACATGAGTACACCCGGACAAAATCATAGCAAAAAAATTATGACACGATGTAACCCAGGTTAAAATAGCCTCTTCATAAAAATAATAGTAAATTAGATAAATAGGAAATAAATAAATAGGGAATTAATCGATCTTAAAATTGTTATTCTCTTATTCTGAAGGGTCGCATTTATGTGTAACCCACGTGACTAGCTTCAGCCAATCGGGTTGCTGCGTTCTCTGACGTGAGAGAAAGCAAGCAGAGAGCGTAAAGCAAGCAGAGAGCGCAGAAGCAAACGGGATTGTGCTGAAAAGAAAAGACAGATAAGAGAAATTGACCACTCGTAGCTGATTTGTTGTCTAAGACGAGTTTGTTCTTTTTATTTCTGGAGAAGGAGCTTTTCCCATATTTTTTCTCTCACCCTGACTGCGTTCGGGATCATTTTTTTTGTGTTGTGGAACTGGACTTGGTGAGTTGAAAGTGTATTTTGTTTCTTTTGTTTCTTTTTTTAAGATAATGTATTTGTTAAACATTTATTTAATTTAAATGGAAAGCTGAAGCGGAGGCTGATCAGCGGAGGCGTTGGCTGTTGCTCTTGGTGCTAACAGCAAGCCAACTGAAAGTCAACAGGAGTAACAGCTGATCCGCTGAAGCTAACAGCTGCTCTTGTCAACAGAAATTCAACGGCTTATCAGCAGAGGAGCTAACTGTTGCTAACTGTCGCTCTTTGTTGGCAACAGGCTTTTTTTGTTGTTGTTGTTGTTTTGTTTTCGTTCGGCTGGGATTTGGACTAAGGAGTCTCGGATCATCGCTGAATTGGATCTTCCTAAAGAGTCTCGGATCATCGCTGAATTGGATCTTCCTAAAGAGTCTCGGATCATCACTGAACTGAACCTTCCTAAAGAGTCTCGGATCATCACTGAACTGGATCTTCCTAAGGAGAACGAGATGGCGAGCCAACCCTGGAGCTAAAGACCATCAAGTAGGAGCTACGCCTTCTGCTGGACATTGCCAACCCTGCAATTTGGTATGACCTGCCCATGTTGTCATGCGTATTAGCAGTGGGTCACTGAAACAGAATTAACTGTTGGATCATCGGAAGAAACAAGACATCAATCTGAAGCACAGTTTGATCTGTCCTTTCTGAATTGTTCTGCTGTGTTGTTGTTTTGCTGTTATTGTTTTTTTTTTTTTAACTCCTTAAGGGAAACACCAAAGAATTAAAATAGATTAAACAGATTAAAACAAACTGTAAATCAAAATAGATAAATAGTATTAACTAGAACCTAAATAGAACTATAACCTAGGTAAAATAAATAGTATCCTTAATTTAGATTTATAAAATACTCTGAAAGGAACTGGAAACTATTTTTCTTTTTTTTGAATTTGTGTCATTGTGTGTTAATTGTGTAACATTGTTGTTGTTTATTCTTTTATTGTTCTTTAAACTAATAATAAGCCGACTGTTTTAACTTAATTTTCTTTGGTCTGTGGTCATTAATTCAAACTACACTTCTCACTACTCCAGTAGCCGAACCTAGCTCTGGTCTTATTACAAATTTATTAACTGTAAACACATAGCGAGTGTTACACAT